TAAAGATTAAACTCCTGAGTCACAGTTTTTTATCTTCTTGAAAACCACCCTATTTATAACAATTCACAACCATTTTTCATCATTTGTTTATGTGTCTTGTTGTTAACCTTGTTCTAATTATAGAACTGATATTATTCATTTGTATTGACCAAGGCGGATGTCGTCGATGAAGCAAAATATATTTTATCTTCTGGAACACCTGGTCTTATTCTCCCTTCCGGAATCTCCATGAAAATCTTTCTGTTTTCTTATTTTGTTGTTGTTTAATTGAATTTGAATTTGGATTATGATTATGTTGGTATAATGTTATTTTCTTGGTTTTTTTTTTTTTAATTTGAACTTTGATTTTTTCTTACTTGTACAACTTTGTATCAATGCACATAAACAGCACTAGTTGTAAAATCACATAGAAACTAATATAACAAACAAAAATATTTATCTTTTCATATCTATATAAACAACATAATATATATTGATATTTATCCATATAAATTGATCCATGTGTGCATACTGTAGAATCGAAAAGTTTCAAGGTTATTTTATTTTCCTTAAAACTTATTTTCCTTAAGTTTGTTGTTATCATACTTTTAATCTTATATATACAAAATTAGAAAATTAGGCCCCACCAAAAAATATGACTTTACAGTAGATCGGATAATTAAGTTTTACACAGAGTTTCTCCTATAGTATCACCAACAGGACACAGTACATGTTTATCATGTGCACATGAAAAGAAAATGCAATTTTCCCCCTCAATTTGAGAGTAATAAAGATAAATGTATAATGGCAGAAATGTCTGTACAAAATCTCAGGCAACAAACTCAGCATGGTGATCATTTTATCTACTACATCTCTCTGACAAAAGTTCAAATCCCTGCCTGATTTACAACTCCAAACCCTGGCCAACATGGTGAAAGAGGAAACTTTTATCTACTACATCACTCTGACAAAAGTTCAAATCCCTGCCTGATTTACAACTCCAAACCCTGGCCAACATGGTGAAAGAGGAAACTTTTATCTACTACATCACTCTGACAAAAGTTCAAATCCCTGCCTGATTTACAACTCCAAACCCTGGCCAACATGGTGAAAGAGGAAACTTTTATCTACTACATCACTCTGACAAAAGTTCAAATCCCTGCCTGATTTACAACTCCAAACCCTGGCCAACATGGTGAAAGAGGAAACTTTTATCTACTATGTCACTTCAAGTTAAATACCAACTTTTGATTGTCTCTTTTGTAAACACTACAAAGGTCCCTTCCACCACAATGTTATAATTCTACACAATTAACAAGTAAATACAACATCTCACACGTACATATCAATATCTTGAGTTTATAAGACAATTTCTCTACCAGCTCTACCTTGACACCACCCATTACCTAAGTGATACAGTTGTGAAGGACATGTCTCATATAAAATATTTAAGACATTTTGATAACACACATTTTATCGTATTTCAACGATTACTTGAAGTTTTGCTGAAGAAATTAACTTATAAGCATCTGATTGTTGTTCTAATAATACTTGGTGAGAAAACAGTACATAAGGGACAATACTGATCAGAAGCAAAATCACAATAATCTACATTTTATCTTGAGGGTGAACATATACAGAAAGAACCCATCTGATCACAAATTTAAGAGTTTAAGAAATCACAAGATCAGAAAAGTGCACTTCAGCCTTTGCTAGGTAAAGAACTGACTATTGTCAAAGATCTGACAACACTGATGCAATGATCATAGATTTGACAACAATTACTCATAGGTCACAGATCTTATAAAAGTGACCTACAGGTCACTGACAAATCTGACCCAGCTGAGGTCACAGATCTGACAACACTGACCCTGAGGTCAAAGATCTGACAACAATGACCCTGAGGTCACAGATCTGACAACAATGACCCTGAGGTCACAGATCTGGCAAGCGACCTACAGGTAATAGATGTGACAACACTGACCCACTGAGCCAGGTGAAATTACCTGATGGTGATCCAATAGATTGCTGTAGATTTCATGTGACAGGCCTCCTGTATATTGTTCAGTGAATGACAACCATTTACTACAACAGAACCTAAAAAAAGACCTTTGTGTCCAGGAAAACAGTTACAGCAAAAGATACCACGGACAGACTTGTATCAAGATAACAACATCAACAATGAAGAGGTGATATATACAAAAAGATGATGTTAATTATTGTTTCACAACCATGGTGTTCATCCTATATAACAGATATAATGGCTAAGAAAAGATACTAGCAATATCTATCAATCTTATACAAACATTTTTATAATAATACCCCACTTAGGATGAAATTATGAAAAAAAGTTTAAATAGATCAATGTGTTTAAAAAAAAAATGTAAGCTTGTAAATAAATCCAACAACACAAATCTTATTTCAGTCACATTTAAACTGCATTGAGAAATTTGTTTTCATTTGATATACCTTAACACTAGCTCTTTACACAACAGAAAACATGTATCACCAAAGAATATCATCAATAGATTCACAGATAATATGATTGGTCCACAGAAAAATAATCTTCAAATTCATATAAAACTAGAATTTAAAGGGGAAAAATGTTGCAAAACCCATAAAATCTATCCTGTATTTACTTACTGGTTTTCCACCATATTTCACATATTTTTAAGTTAGCTATAGACATAGGGGCTCATATACTTCCTCCACCCCTAATTGTTTTACTTCCACAGTTGTCAACGTGACCTTTGACCCTGTAATGTCAAGCAATGACTATCAAAATCTGATCAGGTCAGGGCTCTCGATCTGCCAGATTTGGTGCCGATATTCGGCCAATGCAAAATAGTATCTTTTTTTCCCAATTTAGACCCCAAGTTTTCCCCATTCTAAGGAAAATGCCAATATTTTTCTCAATTCTAAGGGCCCCGGGCCCCAGTCCCAAAATGGGGTGTGAGAGCCCTGCAGGTGCAAAACTCAATGTTTTTATACAATGGCATGAAAACAAACAAAATCCATCAAGGAAGTCTTGAGAAATCTATATTTAAGTTTTGTGTTATGGATGCATGTTAAAATGTATCAACAAGGAGATTTGTATAAATTTCCCTTTACTAAGTAGGGGCAGGAAAATGCAACCATAATATTTGTGTTTTTAACATAAATATCTTGAGTATTCTTAAAAGGGACATATAAAATTGCTGATATGTAAATATACATCAGCAATGGCTGTATCTAATTAAGTACATATTTCAAAAGAGATTAAAACAGTATAATATCAGAGATGTAAAATGTGGATTTTGATTTCATATCACAAGCCTATCAACACATGAATTATGATGTCACTGATATATCAGACAAATCAATCTTTTTTAACTCTCCTACTCAAAGGATGATTTTTTTCGGTGTGATTCACACTGTAATCATCAATTTGTTAAGATTCAGCTCCCAACTCCGTATGTATCATTGTGAAACAAGAGATCCATGATCTTCTTGTCCACAGATGTTGATCTTCATATGGTCTCTAAAAGTTTAATCTTTTCCCTTCTTTTCTTTGTTTTTGCTCGTTAATATACAAATTTTGAATGACCTTTGACCAATAAAAACAAGATGTTCTTCAATCAGCAAAATTTTTTTTTCTTTCATCAGTCCCATTATCAAAAAAAACAGCTAGTGACCAAGAGGAACCAACATTTAAAATTTTAAAATGACCTATTAAGATATAGCAATTAAAACAAGAGTACCGCAAAGCGGAACAAAATATGCCCGTGAATATCCAAAATAGCAAAGGGGCATAACTCTTATTCAAATTGTCTAATCAAAACCCCGTTCAGGAAAACACAATTTCATATCATGATGATTAAATCTACCAAGTTTCATAAAGATCAGCTGAAAAATGTTGGAGGAGATCTCCGGACAAGATTTCTATAGTGAAATAAACAAAGGGCCATAACTCTTGTTCAAATCACCAAATCAAAAACCCCATTCAGAAAAACACAATTTCATATCATGGTGATTAAGCCTACCAAGATTGGCTGAAAAATGTAGGAGATCTCCGGACAAATAAAGGTTAACGCCGGACGGACGGACAGTGCCATAGCATATTAAGACGGGCGTATGAAAATATTACTGTCAAAATCAAATTTTGGCCACATGTTGGACATTTTGTTTTTTGGATCAGTCCCACAACAAGAGATCAAGGGGAATCTAAATCTCAGTAAAGGGTGAACAGAAGGACTGACAGTGGGCATCAAACCACAGACAAAAGGTGATTTGAACAGCCCATTGTGATCATCAACACAACACAAACGGCAAACATCACTTCAGACCAGACATGTACTCAGTACTATGGTCCAGTTTTGATCTGATCAGACATGTAGTCAGTACTGTGGTCCAGTTTTGATCTGACCAGACATGTAGTCAGTACTATGGTCCAGTTTTGATCTGACCAGACATGTAGTCAGTACTAGGTCCAGTTTTGATCTGACCAGACATGTAGTCAGTACTATGGTCCAGTTTTGATCTGACCAGACATGTTACTCAGTACTAGGTCCAGTTTTGATCTGACCAGGCATGAACTCAGTACTATGGTCCAGTTTTGATCTGACCAGACATGTAGTCAGTACTATGGTCCAATTTTGATCTGACCAGACATGTAGTCAGTACTATGGTCCAGTTTTGATCCTATTGCTAACAGTCTCAACATCATATAAATAGCTATAGTACTATGTTATAAATACAATTCATAGAGAACCAAAATATGTTTCACAATAAAATAAATTTCCCAAAAAAAAATATTATTAAAAAAGCAATTTCGCAATCATGTTATCCTCTGACAAATATTTTGATATCTGTGTTTCTTTGTTTATAAACTTCTATTGAATGTAGTATTTCATATTAGTCTAATTTTGCTAACTTGTTTTTCATATAATTTTTACATCCTGCATAGCTATACATGCAAACATCATGTGATCACTATTCAGCCTGACTATTGGCTGGAACAGTGTCATGTGATTTCTGTTGATTTATCCTACATTGCCATTGGCTGCCTGTTGTCTCTTCCTTAGGTTGTAGCCATTAGCTGCATTACCATTGCTGATTTTTGGAGATTTCTTTGGTGTCGAGGAATCGTGTGAGGCCTCCGAATCTGTGACGAAGAATCCATCATCTAGGGACTGAAGGATGTAAAAGATTTAGAATATTTCTATACATCATTGTATTAAAGAGCTAATTGATCACAACCGACTCAGTTCCACTATATGTACCAACATTTAAGCCTCTTCCATCAAGCCCCCATTTTCTATCAAAGTTTTACCCTGATCTTCAAGATTACACACCAATATTTACAGGTAAAATTTTTCAAAAAATCATCTCTAATTTACAGCTGATCATCTAATACTTTTGATGTCCTGTGATATAAAACCACACCGATTTAAAACACCAAAATTTAACTAGTCACAAGTATTTTAAGATATATGTCACCAAATTAAAATTATCACAAAAACAATTTTCGTTTTAAATCATGGGATTCAGTAACGGAAATACTCATTAAAGTATCATTAGTCTTTCTGTCAGCCTCTAATCATTTTTGTATCCTGCACCTATCACATATATTTTTGCTGTATTTGGCAGTGACGGAAAATACCTTTATCTCAGCACATGCAATAATTTGACTAAATAACTCTCTGATTTATCAAATATTACATTTAAATATATAAATAACTTTTAAAATAAGACAATCTATATGTTGTAATAAACAAGTTTATTTATGGAAATTCATAAAATGCTGTTATATCAGTTGAAGTTTGGAACTATATTTCCGTGCGGAGAAATTATTTTGGCATAAATCAACAGGCAAAATACAGCATAACATCAGGTAAACAAAGATTAAACAACAAAAGTGTAGAAGTTTTTAATTGTCTGAATTTCAATCAGTGTTACAGAATAAATAGAATACATGGTCAGTGTCTTAAAACAAACGCTTCATTTTGGCTTGGGTCAAAAAGACACTGACAATGTAATGTGTATAACAAACACAAGAATTATAGTTATGTCATTACTGTTTTATGTGTGGTTACGCTGTATTATTATATAAAAGAGCATCATACTTACTGTCCATCGCCATTTTTTGGCATATACAGCACAAAGGTAAACACAGATCACACTACCTATCAGCTGAAATATACAGGTAGATATAGGTAATTATATATATATATATATCTAGTCTACAGTAAACACAGATCACACTACCTATCAACTGAAATACACAGGTAGATATAGGTAATTATATATATATATATATATCTAGTCTACAGTAAACACAGGTCACACTACCTATCAGCTGAAATATACAGGTAGATATAGGTAATTATATATATATATATATCTAGTCTACAGTAAACACAGGTCACACTACCTATCAGCTGAAATATACAGGTAGATATAGGTAATTATATATATATATATATCTAGTCTACAGTAAACACAGGTCACACTACCTATCAGCTGAAATATACAGGTAGATAAAGATATTATATATATATCTAGTCTACAGTAAACACAGGTCACACTACCTATCAGCTGAAATATACAGGTAGATATAGGTAATTATATATATATATATAGAGAGCAGGAATCGAAATAAGAAATGATTTTTTAAGCCTTAACGATTTAGAAAAATTTGATTTTATAATGTCCTGCAGGGAATTACAAATTTCACTTGCTAATAATTTATACAATATGTTCCGGAGACGTAGCACTTTAAGTGAGTAATCAATGTTTTAACAGTGTCTTGTAAGCCATTTCTGGCTGAATATCACGTATGATTACATTTTTAGAATATATGCTTTAATTGATTCGTTGGGTAAATCAGAAACTTTTTTATATCGATTGATTATCTATTATTAATTATAATTAATTATTGTAGGTAGCATAAGTTTGGCAAACCTCGATGGTAGGGTTCTCCCCAACCCTTGGAATGCCAAATTTCACTACTGATGAATGTATCATAAATAATTTTTGCCATGTGTATTGTTTTATTATTTCATATATAACATGTAGCTACAGTATGGATGAGACCTATTTTAGTATTACAATATATATTATAATTTATATATTTCGTATATAATCCAGAGAGCTTGTTAGGTAGGGGCTGTCCCAATCACCTGTTCTCTGGATTACGATCTGTGATAAATAAGTTTTAATTCATGATAATGGATTTACCTGGTTAGTTTAATATGACTGATCCCAACGGTCTCACTATGGTTTTATATTGTGTACTTTACATATGATGTAATTGTGATATATGACACTTTAATAAACAAATTTGTATTGTATTGTATTGTATTGTATATATATAACATAGGTAATACATCTACTCTACAGTAAACACAGGTCACACTACCTATCAGCTGAAATACACAGGTAGATATAGGTAATTATATATATAACATAGGTTATACATCTAGTCTACAGTAAACACAGGTCACACTACCTATCAGCTGAAATATACAGGTAGATATAGGTAATTATGAATATATATAAATACATGTAAACTGTGGTTTTACATAAAATACACAGTAAACAGACCACACTACCTGTCAGTTACACAGCTAATTCATAACAAACAATAATAATCTATGCAGTTTATACTTCAGTTTAGGGAAATGGATTTGAACTCCTCTCATTAGTACACAAGTCAAACCAGATTGTGACATCAGTATAATAAGGATGTACTTACCTGTACTAAGAACCAGTAGATCACATATGATATATCTGTTTGCTTGAATAAATCTGTTCCAAATTTCAAACAGACTATCGCCTCTGTCAATGTGATGGCACTATAAAATACATGATCACTGATTACTTACACAAAGTCTGGGAAAAATAGAATGGTTCTGGAGCAGAAGTAAGGACAGAATGGTATAGATTAACGTCACAAGTAATGATGTTGGTCAAGGTCAAAAACAATAATTTAGATCAAGGAAAAAAGAATGGGTTTTAGTCAGAAATGCATCCTTTGATAGAATGATCAGGGGCAGAAATATGGATATATGGATGAAGGAAGTAGTAAGGATGTATGATTAAGGCCAGAAATGTTTTAGTATAGGTCAGTACCAGAAAAAGTGATAAATGGGTCAATCATGCAAAGAAATAAGGATATACAAGGACAGAAATAAGGATGTATAGATCAATCAAGGACAGAAATAAGGAGATATAGATCAACCAAGGACAGAAATAAGGAGATATAGATCAATCAAGGACAGAAATAAGGATGTATGGATCAACCAAGGACAGAAATAAGGATGTATAGATCAATCAAGGACAGAAATAAGGAGATTTAGATATACCAAGGTCAGAAATAAGGATGTATAGATCAACCAGGGACAGAAGTAAGGAAGTATATATCAACCAAGGTCAGAAATAAGGATGTATAGATCAACCTAGGACAGAAATAAGGAGATATAGATCAACCAGGGACAGAAATAAGGAAGTATAGATCAACCAAGGACAGAAATAAGGAGATATAGATCAACCAGGGACAGAAATAAGGAGATATAGATCAACCAAGGACAGAAATAATAATGTAGAGATTAACTAAGGTCAGAAATAAGGATGTATAGATCAACCAAGGACAGAAATAAGGATGTATGGATCAATCAAGGACAGAAATAAGGATGTATGGATCAACCAAGGACAGAAATAAGGAGATATAGATCAACCAAGGACAGAAATAAGGATCTATGGATCAATCAAGGACAGAAATAAGGATGTATGGATCAACCAAGGACAGAAATAAGGAGATATAGATCAACCAAGGTCAGAAATAAGGATGTATAGATCAACCAAGGACAGAAATAAGGATGTATAGATCAACCAAGGACAGAAATAAGGAGACATAGATCAACCAAGGACAGAAATAAGGATGTATAGATGAACCAAGGACAGAAATAAGGATGTATAGATCAACCAAGGTCAGAAATAAGGATGTATAGATCAACATAGGACAGAAATAAGGAGATATAGATCAATCAAGGACAGAAATAAGGATGTATGGATCAACCAAGGACAGAAATAAGGATGTATAGATCAATCAAGGACAGAAATAAGGAGATATAGATATACCAAGGTCAGAAATAAGGAAGTATAGATCAACCAAGGACAGAAATAAGGATGTATGGATCAACCAAGGACAGAAATAAGGATGTATAGATCAACCAAGGACAGAAATAAGGATAAAAACAAGTCTGCACCTGAAATAAGGATATAAAAGTGTTAACTAGAAATAAGGATATAAATACATCTTACTGCTTTGGTACAACTTTGAAAATATAAACCTTTTGAAAAAGTTGATTCAATATTGATATTGGTGAACAACATGGACTACTTACCAAAACATCCAGCACTGTGTTCCGAGGCGTTTACACTGTCGGTCTGTTACATAAAGGTAATACTGTCTGTAACAAAATAATCTAAAGTCAGCACCATGGATACAAAAAAATGAATATATACATCCTGGATACATTAATGTACAACATTATACATCCTGGATACAAAAAAATTAATATTTACATCCTGGATACATTAATGTACATCATACATCCTGGATACAATAATGTACATTATACATCCTGGATACATTAATGTACAACAAAATACATCCTGGATACATTAATGTACATTTTACATCCTAGATACATTAAATGAGTTCATGTAGTCGAGCCAACGCCGTGTGTTCTCGTGGGGTGGTTAGTAGGTATCTCCACTCCCCAGCTGGATACCCCCAGGTATGCAGGGTGATTGAGCAAAAGGGAAAATCAGACTATAAGAATCAATCACAACAGTCTGCGGTGTGGTAGTTACTAGGATTTATTATACCGTCTACCGGTTTCGCCCTCCTGGGCTTCTTCAGGACGACAACATGAATTTTTATCCCCCTAAGGTACATAAAATGCGGCTCCCTCAAAATTATAAATAGTACATGTGCTATTGTGATACAATTCAAAGTTCGTTCACTATAGTATATGATGTTAACTCTATGTAACAAAAATATAGGAACACGTTTGTGGGTTTATTGTATAGCTTACTTCCCAGGCGCCCATCTGGTAGCCTGTAGATTGTAGTATCCAAGAAGTTTACCTCCGTGTCACTGACCTCGAAAGTAAACTTAATCGTGGGGTGGTAGTGGTTCATAGCTTCGCGGAAGGAGGTGAGCGCCTCTCTGCCGTGCGGCCATATAAAGAATATATCGTCGATGTATCTCCACCATACTAATGGTACTAATGCTTGTGTGGAAAGGAATTTCCTTAAACTTCTTGGATACTACAATCTACAGGCTACCAGATGGGCGCCTGGGAAGTAAGCTATACAATAAACCCACAAACGTGTTCCTATATTTTTGTTACATAGAGTTAACATCATATACTATAGTGAACGAACTTTGAATTGTTACGTCACAATAGCACATGTACTATTTATAATTTTGAGGGAGCCGCATTTTATGTACCTTAGGGGGATAAAAATTCATGTTGGAAGAAGCCCGGGAGGGCGAAACCGGTAGACGGTATAATAAATCCTAGTAACTACCACACCGCAGACTGTTGTGATTGATTCTTATAGTCTAGATACATTAATGTACAACATTATACATCCTGGATACATTAATGTACATTATACATCCTGGATACAACAATGTACAACATTATACATCCTGGATACATTAATGTACATTATACATCCTGGATACAACAATGTACAACATTATACATCCTGGATACAATAATGTACATCATACATCCTGGATACAATAATGTACATCATACATCCTGGATACATTAATGTACAACATTATACATCCTGGATACAATAATGTACATCATACATCCTGGATACAATAATGTACATCATACATCCTGGATACAATGATGTACAACTGGATACAATAATGTACATCATACATCCTGGATACAATGATGTACAACATTATACATCCTGGATACAATAATGTACATCATACATCCTGGATACAATAATGTACATCATACATCCTGGATACAATGATGTACAACATTATACATCCTGGATACAATAATGTACATCATACATACTGGATACATCAGTTATACATCAGTTATATACATCAGTTATACATCAGTTGGACCAGTTATACATCAGTTATACATCAGTTATACATCAGTTAGGTTATACATCAGTTGTACATCAGTTATACATCAGTTGTACATCAGTTATACATCAGTTAGGTTATACATCAGTTATACATCAGTTAGGTTATACATCAGTTGTACATCAGTTATACATCAGTTATACATCAGTTAGGTTATACATCAGTTATACATCAGTTATACATCAGTTATACATCAGTTAGGTTATACATCAGTTATATATCAGTTAGGTTATACATCAGTTATACATCAGTTATACATCAGTAATACATCAGTTATACATCAGTTATACATCAGTTATACATCAGTTAGGTTATACATCAGTTAGGTTATACATCCGTTATACATCAGTTTTACATCAGTTATACATCAGTTAGGTTACACATCAGTTATACATCAGTTGTACATCAGTTATACATCAGTTAGGTTATACATCAGTTATACATCAGTTATACATCAGTTATACATCAGTTATGTTATACATCAGTTAGGTTATACATCAGTTATACATCAGTTAGGTTATACATCAGTTGTACATCAGTTATACATCAGTTATACATCAGTTACATCAGTTATGTACATCAGTTATACATTAGTTATACATCAGTTATACATCAGTTATACATCAGGTTATACATCAGTTATACATCAGTTAGTTATACATATACATCAGTTATACATCAGTTATACATCAGTTAGGTTATACATCAGTTGTACATCAGTTATACATCAGTTAGGTTATACATCAGTTATACATCAGTTAGGTTATACATCAGTTATACATCAGTTATACATCAGTTATACATCAGTTATACATCAGTAATACATCAGTTATATATCAGTTAGGTTATACATCAGTTAGGTTATACATCAGTTATACATCAGTTAGGTTATACATCAGTTATATATCAGTTAGGTTATACATCAGTTATACATCAGTTATACATCAGTTAGGTTACACATCAGTTATACATCAGTTTTACATCAGTTATACATCAGTTGTACATCAGTTAGGTTATACATCAGTTAGGTTATACATCAGTTATACATCAGTTATACATCAGTTAGGTTATACATCAGTTATACATCAGTTATGTTGTACATCAGTTATACATCAGTTAGGTTATACATCAGTTAGGTTATACATCAGTTATATATCAGTTAGGTTATACATCAGTTATACATCAGTTAGGTTATACATCAGTTGTACATCAGTTATACATCAGTTAGGTTATACATCAGTTGTACATCAGTTATACATCAGTTAGGTTATACATCAGTTATACATCAGTTATACATCAGTTATACATCAGTTAGGTTATACATCAGTTATACATCAGTTGTACATCAGTTATACATCAGTTAGGTTATACATCAGTTAGGTTATACATCAGTTTTACATCAGTTATACATCAGTTGTACATCAGTTAGGTTATACATCAGTTAGGTTATACACCAGTTATACATCAGTTATACATCAGTTGTACATCAGTTATACATCAGTTATACATCAGTTAGGTTATACATCAGTTATACATCAGTTAGGTTATACATCAGTTATACATCAGTTAGGTTATACATCAGTAGGTTATACATCAGTTAGGTTACATCAGTTATACATCAGTTATACATCAGTTATACATCAGTTAGGTTATACATCAGTTATACATCAGTTAGGTATACATCAGTTATACATCAGTTATACATCAGTTATATACATCAGTTATACATCAGTTATACATTAGGTTATACATCAGTTATACATCAGTTAGGTTATACATCAGTACATCATACATCAGTTATACATCAGTTGTACATCAGTTATACATCAGTTAGGTTATACATCAGTTATACATCAGTTATACATCAGTTATACATCAGTTGTACATCAGTTATACATCAGTTATACATCAGTTAGGTTATACATCAGTTATACATCAGTTAGGTTATACATCAGTTAGGTTATACATCAGTTATACATCAGTTATACATCAGTTATACATCAGTTATACATCAGTTAGGTTATACATCAGTTATACATCAGTTATACATCAGTTATACATCAGTAATACATCAGTTATACATCAGTTATACATCAGTTATACATCAGTTAGGTTATACATCAGTTATACATCAGTTATACATCAGTTATACATCAGTTAGGTTATACATCAGTTATACATCAGTTATACATCAGTTAGGTTATACATCAGTTATACATCAGTTATACATCAGTTAGGTTATACATCAGTTATACATCAATTAGGTTATACATCAGTTAGGATATACATCAGTTATACATCAGTTATACATCAGTTATACATCCGTTAGGTTATACATCAGTTATACATCAGTTAGGTTATACATCAGTTATACATCAGTTATGTTGTACATCAGTTATACATCAGTTAGGTTATACATCAGTTATGTTATACATCAGTTAGGTTAAACATCAGTTATACATCAGTTATACATCAATACCTACCTGCCAAACAATTATGAGGAGACACACTTCTGCCACACGACGATATGATGACATTGGGTCCAGCCATTTTACATCTGCCCAACTGATCAATAGAAACAGAATAGTATAGCATTTAATGCGACCTTGTAAATGTTTTGATGACATCAGTAATAATTACAGCTGTATACTTCCCTATGAACAAATGCTTCTTCTTTCTAGAAGAGTTTAATTTTTCATTATTATCATTTTTTCTAAATCTTTGTATTTTTTTCTTTTCACAATGGGTGTCCAATGTCCTCACTTTGAATACATTTTTAGCAATATAAAGGTATTTAAGCATCAACACACTCCTACAGATAGAAAAAAAAAGTTAACAGCATCTTACCTTACAGGGGTAAACTGTAGCACTATCCTCCTCAACTTTCCTGTTGTGGTGTGGATATCTCTGTAAGATTAAAATATATCAACAGTGATTTAAACATTAAGGAATACAGTGGTACACATATTTATTCCTTATACTGATAAAATCACACTAAATATACTTACATTGATAATATCACACATAATATACGCATTCTGATAATATCACACTAAATATACTGATAATATCACACTTAATATACTTATACTGATAATATCACACATAATATACGTATTCTGATAATATCACACTAAATATACTGATAATATCACACTTAATATACTTATACTGATAATATCACACACAATACACTTATACTGATAATATCACACATAATACACTTATACTGATAATATCACACTTAATATACTTACACTGATAATATCACACTTAATGTACTTATTACTGTCATTGATGGAACCATATTTTGATACATTGTGTATCAATGTCAGACAATGTGATACACTACAAGATCTACTCTGTTTGCCTCTAAATAGATAGATAAATGTAGTATCTTACTTGTGTTTCCATTTGATATCTGAATTTTTTTTAAACAAATCTTAAATTCTTTCATTTTTGCAAGTTTTTTTTGTCAGCTAAAAACTGAAAAATTGTGACATATTTCATAAATCATATATGAAATGAAAAAAAAATCCTTTTTTTCAATTAAAGCACATATTTGTCACAAGAAAAGTTACGGACGTTGACAATCGTTTAATTTATTTTTAACTAATGCACATATTTGTTACAATAAAGGTATGGAAGTTGAGGATCTTTTAGTTCAAGATGTTATGTTATTTATGTAATGTTCATCTTAATTCTCTAAATATCAAAACTTACTTGATACTTTCCCAATGATAATTCCTCATCTCCAGTTTCTTACACAGGAACATTCCAATCCAGATGCCAAGACCGTTACACACAAGAACATCCAGCACCCAAGCATCCCACCAACATTCAGCAAAGTTTGGCAGTAAGTGACAAAAGGCCATCTGCAAACATTAAACATATCACCAAATAAACTACCAGGTAACTAAAATTTAGAATTTTTTTTTTTGTAAATATACTGAGAGGAAAAAGAAACGCAATTAGGAATTTCGAGATCAACTACGGGAAATAGAAATGGGTTTTAGAATGTAATTATGGTGTAACTAGAAGATAGTTGACCACTCTCTCATCTATGAGAATTTCATTCATGTACGTTAAGTAAACCTTTCAAATTTGACGTTGATTCAAGAGTACCCCACTCCAAAATGAAGTGCATTCTGGACCCATCAATATCATGTGTGCTCCCCGCGAGCTGCACTAACTGCACAAATTCTTTTGTGCATTGAATTGATCGGGGTATTAACCCTCCTCATTGGTATATGATTCCATTCCTCATCCAGCGCCAGTGCCAACTGAGTGACGTTGATTGGCGGATTCGACCTACGTCTGTCCAACTCGTCCCATAAATGTTCTATTGGGGAGAGGTCAGGGCTGTATGGGGGCCAGTCTAGGGTGGGGATATTGTTTGCTGCGAGATAACCACGGCAAACCCTCGCTACATGCGGCCGGCTGAAACGTCCGTTGGCTCTGTTGTACTAGAGGAACAACATGCGGCTATAGGACTTGATCTCTATAGCGGACGGCCATAAGATTTCCCTGAATAACAACCAAAGGAGTCTTGACACCATGCGCAATCCTCCCCATACCATGACCGATCCTCCTCCAAAGCGGTCGTTCTCTATCATGCAAGCATCTGCATAGCGCTTGTGGGTACCTCTATAGACATGATGTCTGCCCGGTAAAGCGTAAACCTGGACTCATCTGAAAACAGGACCCTTCTTCAACGTTGCAGTGGGAAGCATCTTACGGAATGTGCGTTCAGCCATTGCATTCGTCTGGCACGTCGCCGTGCATTAAGCTGTGGTCCAACATATGGCCACAGCAGTCTTATACAGAAGGCACGGAGTCGAGTACACACTGTCTTTGGATCAATTGGAACATGATGATGCCCAATTGTGTTCCTTGCTGTTTCCGTGGCCGTCAGAAAGCGATTGCGTATGTGCGAAGGTTGCATTGCTCTACCCTGCCGACGCGTCTTCACACGAGGGCGACTGTTTCGGGAACGGTCTGCAATCTTTCCGGTGGCATGTAGTCTTTTGAGGAGACGGCAAATGTCCAATGGATGGACTCCAAATTGATTAGCGACCTGATTTTGCAGTGTACCTTGCATAAGAAGTGCAATGGCACGACCCCTCTCAACTTCAGACAGTCGTGGCATTTTTTACAGTGAACTGTTTATGCTTAAAATGTAGGAAATCAAGACGGATATGTCTTATATATTCACACACACAGATTTTGAACCAATCCTTTATACTGGGTTCGAGATATCATGCTTTTGTCTCTTATTCTTTTGTTTTGTACAAGCGGCATGCGCAGTTTAGTTATGTATCATTGATTTTAATACGATACCATAGGGACCTAACTCAAATGCACACATTTGTCAAGTTTCAAGGGTGTATATCAAGGATTTAATTTACAATATTAACTTTCTGCTAATTGCGTTTCTTTTTCCTCTCAGTACATTGAAAATCTTCAAGGAGGGGAGATACAAGAGTAGAATATAAGTATTGTTACACACAAGATTAGAGGTTTATTGAGTAGGTATTGAAATATATTTCTGAAATCTACAGAATGGCAGCATTTTAATAATGTCTCAATCCTGATAAAAGATAAATACTTTACACTGTATGTTTAAGGGATATTCTGCCTGAAAATGTCTTCCTTTTCTGTACCTTCTCTAATGACCTTTAAAACTATTGTTCACTTCAAAACCTCTCTCCTGTGGTTAGTTTGAACGGGCAAAATCTGTGGAAATGCTCCAAGCTAAACCATCTATATGTAGCTCATCAGGAAACCCCAGAACTAAAAGGTCTCTAGATCATTGATTTCTATGCAAAGAATTGGTTAAATACACAAGTGTGTATGATGTTCATTAAAATTTCTACTGGGGTTACAATGTTATTACTCCATTAGGCTTATTTTCTGTTGATTTTATAATTTACACGAATATTTCATTCTGTTCGGCTTATAACAACACAAACCTGCTGTTACAAAATCAGGGATGTAATATTGTTGTAAATCAATCTAGTTAGATCTATAAAGAATTTCTGTAAATAAATTACCATATATTTGTTTAAAGGGTATAATTTCAAGTGTACAATTACCATAAGAACGTAAAAAGATGACTTTATACGGTTTTCTTCAAAAGCATCCCATGAAATCCTAATTTATGCAGAATATCACTTTAATGTAAACCTGGGTTTTATCATTTGAACTTTGAATTTTCCAATAAATTGAATATTGTTACTAAATGCTTAATTAAACATTCCAAATGTTTTCTTTTAAAACTCAAACATCAGACTAATACTCTAACATCAGACAGGGTATTTAAAAGATGATTACCAGAAACTCAGACATCAGGCAGGGTATTTAAATGATGTCTACCTTAACCAGAAACAGAGTTTGAAAACTGCATTTTGTGAGCTTTCAAAGATGTCTGTTTCCTTTATCAAGCAAAGAGTGCAAATGAATCTGGAAAGCAGTTTACTATTCATCTAATGGACGAAAGTATAAAGTCAGCTGTCAAATTGTCAGGACGCATTTTTTTCACAACAGAGCTCTTATATGGATTAATTACATTCCGAATATCAGATAGGATAGATAACTCTAGTTACAACTCTAAAGACAAGGGGGATAAATCTTATTATACCTCTGTGATCTCCCACATAATGCTGATAGTCCAGAGAATTCCGTAGTGACGAATGAGCATAGCCTTTGTTATCCAGCCTAGGAAATGAGCCATAGCAAAACAATCCAAATGGGACACGATTCGTGGCAGGTCTATTTCAGAGCAGTTGGCAGCATATTCCTGAAATCATCAAAATCTTGTTTGCTGAATGAAATTATATCAATTGAAAGTTCCTCAACAAGGAAATAACTACTGAAACATTTTGTAATATTATGAAATATTTAAATCACAATTTCTTTTTTAAGACTCATTTGGTTTGGACACCACACCACTTTTTTGTCAAAAGTCAAGAGGAGACGTTTTCACAAACAAAATTAAATGTTGACATATCCGTTGTGTTCAATATTGTAATACAAGGTGAATGAATAAAGATTGAAAAGATCAATGCTTTTCACAAATATACATTAATTTACATTTTCAATATTTTGAAAACATTAGTACCTTGTTTTAACATTTTAAAATGGTTGTGTCGGACATAACAAATATCTTATGACACCAAAGACTTGATCATATTATTTGTTATTTATCTTAATGTAATTCTCATCAAAAACCCTGAGAACTGGGGAGGTTCTGTTACAAAATTAAATTTTAACTAAATTTAGCGGTGACTTTTATAACATTATACAACACTCCTCATGGCAGTAGACATAAACATTGATTCTGTACCTTTTCCTCCACTGTGATTCCCTCTAGCTCTGGATATAACCATTCCAGTATCCTTCGAAAGTCTTTCCTAGTTTGAAACAGCACGAAGACCAGGAAGATGAAGTAGAAAACACTTATCCCTGTCAACAACAGACAACAAAATCTCAGAAAATGACAATCTTCGAAAGTCTTTCCGAGTTTGAAACAGCACAGGATCATTTTATGCCAAAATTCAACTCATTCTCACTGGTGGAAGAAGAAGTTTGAAATGCCAAAGTTTATGCACAGCGGATTTGATCTTGGATTTCAGATATATCCAAAATATAACAACACTTGGTAAGGACCATCTCAGGATCATTTTATGCAAGATTAAGCTCAATCCCTCTGGTGGAACTTGAGAAGAAGTTTGAAATGTCAAAAGTTTATGCACAGCAGATGTCAGACGACAATGGACAAAGCATGATGGCTATAAGGAATTGTGTAAAATTCATTAGTATGGTATTTCCTAATGGATATATATTAGGAACGGTCAGTCCCTTTCTAGGATCAGAAAATGATGCAGAAATAACAGACAAGAAATTAAGGTCTATTGACAATGTGGCAGTGTATATAGTAGTTAGGAAGTGCCATGCTGGGTCAGCTGTAGGGCCTGGTCAGTTGGGAGACACCCCATGGAGACCTAGCTGGCCTTATCTTGACATATCAGTGGGTAGTTGATTTTGTTTTATAGTCTAAATGTTTTTTATCTTGTTAATTATTATTATTTGTAAAACCATGTTTATGTTATTTGAATGTACATAACGAGTAGTTCCTGACACTGTTTTTATATTTAAAAACTCACCTGTAAGCTGAAAGATATACACAGTTATTTGTAATGTAAAACAGTCTAAACTTAAATTATTTAAAGTTACATATAAATATGTGTCTTAAGTATAGATTTAATGACTTCATTATAAACTAGAGAATGTATTCTGTTGTATTCATTATATAAGTTACTTGTATCTGTAACAGTGTACGATGCTGCATACACACAGGGTAGAGCAGTGTAGGTGTCTTCAGCCAGGTACGGGTAGAATGTATATATATGTATTGTGATGTACCTAAAGGGGAGTAGTGTCCTAGGCTCGGTTATAACCGGAACAAGGACGTTAAGCTAAAAAAAAAAAAAAAAAGGGGGGGGGGGGGGGGGTGAGTAACTAATAACTGGCTCTATTCCATCGAGAGCAATGTTAAGATCCAACCTCAGTTATATAGTTATAATAAAGTAGAGGATACTGTTATCACTAGACTTCGATTAGGCTACACCAAACTCGGTCATAACATCAACCGTATTAAAAAGGAAGTCAGTCCATATTGTCCTAATTGTGGTGAATCAGAAACCATAGAGCACATACTGTTTGAATGTACCGCCCATGACAACCTTAGAACAGTTTTACAAAACCAAATTGAGGCTATAGACAATATGAAATTTGATTCTAAAACGGTACTCAAGCCTCCTAAACAACATAGGAAATATGTATTCGACCAATTAGCCTCCTATCTGACAGATATTGATTATATTGATAAAATCTAGGACAGCGGTAAAGAAAAAAAAAAAAACACACGCACACACACACAATATACACAATTATGAGTCCACGTCCAGTATAGACTAAAAACAAAAATAGGTACTACTTGTAGATCGTACAAAGTACTGTTTACTATAACTGGATAAACAGTAGGTGTATTCGTATCTACCTGGGCCCAACGGGTGTTCGGTAACCTATGGTAGGTAGGGAAACCAGGATACACAGCCCTCCATAATTGACTTTACAGGGAGGTGTATTCAACTCTGGACATAGGACCATAATTTCATCACCCCAAACATACCAACAATACCCTCCAACACCTACCAATAACACACACCACATACCTTAGCAGGGGGCGCTGTAGAAATAAAGTATGATCCCTTTTTAAGTTACCATACCCACAACACGTCATACATACACAAAATTATCACCCACATAAAAACAGCATACACTGGGCGAAATCCCCAAGCCAACAACATCCGTTACACAATCTCTTCTACTCTTCCTTCCTCCTTCTAATATACAAATCCCTGTTCTAGTAGGGTAGACATGTAGACGATTATACACAGTAATCTACAGTCTCCCGAACGACATTGTTTGTATAATAATTCACATTAATTCTCACTAATCCCAATAATCTACGCTAACCGGATTCCAGCACATTCTTTACATCACCCCATCACATCCACTCTCATAACTAAACTTAATAACACAGTTCCCCACTTTTAAATCCACTCTAGAACATCATGACTAGCCTTGTCAAATGGTGGCTAGAACCCCATCTATCAATAACAAACCTATACCAGCTAACAAGCTAAACCTATTTTCCAATTTCCTACTTTCCAATACGCTCTCCCGCTATCTTCTAAACCTCTTGTCCTTCGGAAGGGACGTTAAATGGGGGTCCGGTGTACAGTGAGTCACGCCGTGCACGTTAAAGAACCTCTGCTGGTTTTCGAAAAAAGAGAAGGCTAATTGCTAGCCGCCACAGAGCATAGGTTTATAATAGGGAAATATAGAGTTAGACTAGAGTAGGAATAGGTGTTTCTGTGACAGTCCAAAATTTCCCCGTTTTTTGTTTTTGTTTTGTTTTGGTTTTTTTTCATAGACGTTAGGGTATAGAAATAGTCAGATCTGTCCTCCCCACATTAGACCTGTTTGATGATTACTAAACAGCGAAATTGCACACCTCAATGCCTCGGCCCTACCAGCCCCCTCCCCCTTAGTGTCCTAGGCTCGGTTATAACCGGAACAAGGACGTTAAGCTCAAACAAACAAAAAAAAAAAAACTAAAGGGGAGTTTTTTAAGTGTCCTAGGCTCGGTTATAACCGGAACAAGGACGTTACGCTCAGAGTGATGCTGAGGAATTAAAATAAATCTATATCAAAGAGAAGCTTGACTGGTTTGATCACTCTAACAACAACTTGAAGGTCCTTTGACAGTTCAGATTTTTCAAAACTGAGTTGACATCAATCTATTTTCTATGTAACATCAACAGTTTGCTTAA